TTTTATAAATTACATAAGAAAAATATTTAAAATACACCTCTCTCTTTTGAATGATTTCGTATGGGTTTCAAGTACAAGTGTATTTCGATCTTTTCCATAACATGATCTGTTATATGGTTCTCCAAGAAGTCAATAAGATCGGCTTAAACTATTTTCTTTTATAAACATTGAGTATTGGCAATATACTTATTGAAATATTCTCTCTTTATATAGTATATAGGATACTTGGGTGTGTATAGCTCTATAGGTAGGCATTCAATTCATGATTTTATATTTCTATGTGCATGCTTATATATATTTACATATATTCTTTCCTTTGGTTTTATGAAAATTCAAATCCTTCGGTTGCACTATGATATTTGTTGGGTGTTTTTGAACATTTTTCGTAAATATTCCTTAAACACTGTGAAGTATGTATGTACATATGTACACAACTATGCTCGTATATGTCTGTGCATAAAATTCTTGTTGCTTACATTTAGATATTTACTTGATAGGGGAGAGTAAAGCTTATACCATATTTCTTCATTAAGTTTCAGTAGGTGTAAACATATGTATATAAATATATAATGCATATTATATATGTATTTATGCATGTAGATATTGTTTAGGTCATGATTAGTTTGCTAGTACGAGTTGGTATAAATACTACAAATATACATACTTATAAATGTTATGCGCATCAGGTTTCGGGTCAGGGTCCTACTTGGCTTTTAAGATTTCAAACTTCGCTAGCTTCTATCTATTACTAAATTTCTAAGTATTAGTGTGTGAATGCTGATGTGTGTGTGTAGTGTTTAAAGACGATTTAGCTAAATGTGTTTAAATTGCACTGATTTATGAAATTCTTGAGCTTTAATTTTGGCCTGCCTTGGGAGCCCTGACTTGCCGTTAAATTCCTCTGTGAGTACATGCTATTATTATTATTTCTTTAATTTTAATAAATAAGCATAATRTTATACGATTTCTTACATTTGTACATAATTTTGAGTTTTTTTATACTTTTTTTATTTTATTTTTATTTTATTTATGCATTTGACTTCAACATATGTATATTCAAAATCTTTTCAAATTGAGTTACATTCCTTCATTTCCACCAAATCTAAATATGCTACACTGTATATTTACAAAAAAGATCACTTCTTAAACGCCTACAAATTTAGAAAATAAATTGAAACATAAATTTCGAAATAGAATCTTTGTAAAATATTTTTTTGAAAAATTACTAAAAATTTATTGCAAATAACAATTTTAATAAAAAAAAATGTCAATTTATGATACGGTTTTAAATACTATTGTGGGCAAAAAGTAGTGAGACCTTTTAATTTAAATTTCGCACGAAAATTCATTTGACGAATTTTTTTTGTCAAGGTTAGTATGACTGCGCCAAATGTCACATCAAAATATCCATACTAATGGATAATATACAATTTCCTTTCTGAAGTAGATAAAGTCTATTCGGCGATTTTTAATATTAGTGAAATTATTCAACAAAGAAGCTCCGTTAAATTTTGTGTGCGGAATCAAATTTCTGATGCCGAAATGTTCAGAATGTTGGTAATGGCCTTCAGTGATAATTGTTTGTCCCGAGCAAGTCCTTTTGATTGGTACAAATTATTCAAAGAGGGTCGAGAACGCGTTGACGGCGAACCACGTCCAGGACAGTCATCAACATCATCTAATGATCATCACGTCAATAAAATAAAGTAATTGGCATTTGAAAATCGACGACTAACAGTCACAGATCTTACTGGCATCTTTGAAATATCGGAAGGATCGGCGAAAACCATTATGAAAGATATTTTGAACCTAAGAAAAGTGAAAGCACGATTGGTTCCAAAATCACTCAATTTTTTCGAAAAGAAGTCGGAATTAAGGGCTGAGAACTCTTGTTTCTTGGACCACAACAATGCATCGTCACATACATTGATTCTTCGTGAGGACTATATATGTTTTAAAGAATAAATAAAAATTTAAAAATTATAAAGTCTTACTATCTTTTGGTCATAGTATGTGTGTACGTTTATTAGAGTATTCTTTATTTTCCAAATTTGTTTCTTTTTGCATATGTCCCTTAAAGATCGCAAACAATTTTTTTTTAATTTTAAACATAACGAAATCTTATTTCTTTTCTCATGTATAAAATATGGGATTTTTCAGCTTTTGCAAAAAATTATTATCTTTGTCCGGTAAGTAATGTAATTGATTTTCTTCCAACGCAACTGTACTTCGGAGCGTGCGCGCATCGACTGGTTTCGATAGAGGGCGTTCCTAGCTTACAAACGAGTGGCTGGTGAGTTGTCTTCGCGCGACGTGTTACTGTGAGTAGTGCGAACCGAAAATGCAGCGTTCGTTAGAGCAGAGGTACGCGCTTAAATTTTGTGTGAAACTCGGTAAATCTGCGAGAGAGAGACGTTTGATATGATCAGACAGGTTTCGGTGCCACCAGGCCTTTTTGGACGGCCGGGAAGAGGTCGCTGATGAAGACCGTGCTGGGAGACCTGCGATTTCGACAAACACCGATAATGTGACATCAAAGACATCGTCCACCTCCTSCTCCTGGACAAACCGTCAACGCCAAGTTTTACATGGAAATCCTCAAGAGACTCAATCGGGTTCGACAAGACATCGCTGCCCAGATGTGGCCCCGGTCTTTTTTGTTTTATTGCTTAAAAAGGCCGATGAAAGGCAAGCATTTTGAGGCGACAGAGGGGATCCAAGCAGCTCGCACCTCGAATGACTTGGAAACCGCGCTGGCAGCGCGTTATCGACGCAGAAGAAGCATATTTTGAAATTTTTTAAAGAATTGTAACGACTGGTTTCAGTACATTTCTTAAATCGACTCAGTCCTATTACTTTCCGGACAAACCCTATATGCATCATGTGTACATACCGGAACATAAATATGATTGAGCCACGTTTTAAATCGAAAATAAAGAGCTTGTTTACATTGGATCCTTACTTTTAAAGCGAAATCCGAAACTACAGTGAGCTTTTGGAAATAAACATTCAACTTGGGAAATATCGAACACCCTAATGTTTATGTATTTGTTTACGCGCTTCAACCTGGCATTAACGTTGTCACCTGCAAGATGATTTCCCTTTGTAGCATTAACACTCTTACAAAACGTCAAAACGCCGTTAAGTCATGCTATATAGATATACATATGTACGATATTAGACATGTAGGTATGAATATAAAACTTACAAATACATACCTAAGCACATATTTACTTTATTTAAGTACATAATAAAAAAACTATTCACTATGTATGCATGTATCTACATATATTGGAATTCACAAAGAAACGCAATTCGGAAACCTACAATGTAAACTCCCTAAAATCCTAAGTACATTTCCTAAGCAAGTGGTTGCACATGTTTCTTTTTGGGTACATGGAGAAGTAATGATGGTAATCAATTATTCTATGATTATATTGTTGTTGTTACTTCCTTCGATTGCTTAATATAATTTGTTGTCAGCTGCACTTAAATCTAGACAAACATATTTACATAAATACAATAAATAATTACATACGTACATATGTATATATACTTATAAATAGTAAATAGTTGCACACATACATATGTATGTACATGTATGTTACACTAATAATATTGATCAATAATGAAATATTGAATAATGACGAAAAAATGTTATAAACAGTATTCACGGTATTTGTAATATTAAAGCTTGAAAGTTTTCAAGTGACTTGTTAAAGCTTTGCGCCAATCTACCAATGGCTCGGGTTGTATTTTCGGAGCTAACAACTAGTACTAAGGTTTAACAATTTTCTGATAAATATACAGACCTACATGTACACTCTCTTGTATGTTTTTTGTTTTTAACGGTTTCTTCAGTAGTTACGAATAGTTCAGTCAGTTTTGAGATTTTTATTTAGATTTTAGACGATAGAGAAGCCCAACGCGAGTGGGCCCCGAGCTGTTCCAATTATAGCCGAAACATTTGTAAGTGTGTGAGCTAAATACGTGAGCTGGAAGTTAGGAAGAGTATAGGAAAGATTCCAATTATATACTTCGCTGAGGATATGCTGGATATTTTGTGCCTTATTGATTCGAGGCAAGCCTCTAAACCCGACCTTCGTACAACACCTTTCGCCGCTGCCGCACCGACCGCTTGCTTGCTCTTCATATATGCCTCCTATCTTCCATGTCAACGTTGCATGCACTTAAACTTAAATAAATGTTTCGGCTGCCATTTGTTACAAATACTCCGTTTGCGGTTGTGGTGGCGGTTTCTCGTGCGGAGGTGATGGACCCGAAACCGACACCATTGGTAAAGCCGCGATCTTTGGTTTGGCATGCTTTAGCGCTAGCGTCTTCGGACTGCGGTGCGGTGAAGTGGAGACGGTTGAGGAACGCTGCCGCACGAGTGTACGTGAACGGTTTGTTATGGCTATCTCTGGCAATGGCACCGCCGTGGCCGCGACGGTTGGCACGAGTACTAACTCCTCGACAGTGTCGGTGGAATCTCGCGAGACGGAAATCTTCGTCGACATGCCGGCAAAGTTGTTTGGACGCTGTCTCTTCTCACCATTCTGCAAAGCGACAATGGCGGTGGTTGCGGCTGCGATGCTGGCTGTGCTGCTGTGCAGTTCATCTTTGATGTGGGAAGGTGGTGTTTCAATTGAAATGCTGCCCACAACCACATTCGTGGCGGCCATTGAAGCCGCTGCGGCCGCCGACGTGGATGGATGATCGCAACTGGTGTTGGTAGTGAGTACGGAGAGTGTTCGCGACTCAGCGCAGCAACCAGCACTGCAATTGTTGGCATTGGGACGGCATTCGCGTAGTTCAATGGCGCTACCATCCATATCATCTTGTCTCCTGTTCGAAGCATTGGGATCGCTGTCAATATGTCCTTCGTTGCGCCACGAACCCTTATTGTCGGAGAAGCTTTTCTGTATTGGAAAGACGGGCCGAAAATAATATACATATATATGTACATATATATAATAACGTAAATATTTGAGTTTGTTAAGAAATGTAAACGCGTTTCTGTACTCACCTTGCGCTCATTGTCGGTGATGTTCTCGGCGCTGCGTGCCTTCCGACACAGCACACTCTGCGAACCATGACGACGCAGAAATTCGATTGAATCAAATCCTCTGCCCTCGGACGACACAAATATGGCCGAATTGATGCGACTACGTGTACATCGTTCTGAAATGGAGGCAGAACGCTCCTCATGCAACATGTGGAAATGCTGGAAGCAGAGACACAAATACGTTTTCAGTGTTGGGGCGTTTAATGCGTTGGACGTATTTCTGTCGACAGGATACATGGGACAAAAATAATATAAAACATGACGCGTAGACGGACGACAAAAGCAAATATTGAAACTGCAAACATTTATTGAACGTTTATTGAAAAGTGAAATTCGTGCTTCAACACGAAAATTCGCTATTTTGATTTGTTGATTTTTTTCCTTAAACTACCATACGTAAATACATACAGTACATACAAATGTATGTATGTACGATCAAAGGAATATATGCAAGTACAAACACACACCTCTAAAATAACAAACGTTAGAATCATTCAAAATTTCTACAAAAATCAGAAGCGAACGATTTGGAAAATTGGCGCAAAAACGTGTTAAGCGGATGTGTATTACTAAAAAATTTCTATATTTGCTTCGTATGTGTGTGTGAACATATTACATTTTTCAGTGTATATAAGTGCAATTTTGTGTATGTTGGATTGAATCTTACCGTTATTATATTGTCTGCCAAAATTGTGTTTAAATTGGTTTACGTTATTCATTATTCATTATTCTTTCTAATTTCGGTTATGACTTTGCCTTTTGGGTATTACAAACTTCGTAGCAAAGTAATAATAAATTTAGATTAGAGTAACACTTGATAATCTTATAATAAATGGTATTTGATTCGGTATGTGTACTGAAAAGGTTTAATGAGCCCATCTGAGTTATAGTGGGTTTCAACAAGTCACTTTCCAGCTGTCGTCCACGTGGTTAGAAACTTTAACAGACGCCACTTGCCGAAGGTGCATGAGACTATGATACATAAAGCAATAGAGAAATATCCTGACAACACAAGAGAATTCCTCAAGTAAACCTAACGTCATCTAAGCTGTAATGAGTTATGAACTCGCTGACACCAACTGAAATTGATAAAAAAAAGATTTTGCGACTTTAAAGACGGACTGAAACTCAAATGATGATTGAAATGTTTTTCATCTTCGTGTATGACCTCCACATTATATTTCTTTGCGAGCCTTGTAAAAGCTTTGCTTAAAATTCAATTGACCCTCAATTCATTCGAACTCACATAGGTTAAACTGGTTATGGTAGCGGAAAAAGTCGTTTCGTATTTTGTCATTAGATGTCATGCTACAAACACACACGTCATATCATTGTCATATTATATAGTGTTGAAAAGGTGAGATTTTAAGCTTCATTTAGTAAAAAGTTAAATTCGGAGAAATTGGAAAAAAGTTACAACTGTTCAAAAATGAGTGAAAATTGTGAAGAAATTCGCTATATTTTGAAATTTTTGTATAAAAAAGGGAAAAACGCCACGCAATCCACCAATGAAATTTGTGAAATTACGGATACGAAAAGACTTTTTCGACTACCCAAATAAAAGCATGATACCCATAATGCTAGAACTGCTTCCATGATAAGCTATTGTGATTGAAATGTTTATTCCGTGGTTTTCAAATAGGGATACTATGATTTTTAAGTGTCGTTTGGACCATTTTTAATACATCCTGAACTGTAAGTTTTTAACATTGTATTCAGTAATATTTACAAATTGATCGTGGAAAGGCATATGAAAGTAAAATATTTAAAAATTCTTCAATTTTATTACCAATATAGTAGTTTTCCAATTGCAACTTTTCGGGAGTCCACCTGTGATCGATATTCATCGAGTAGTTAAATATTTCCACCGTGCGATATATTTATCAAAGAATCGCTGCAAGTAATGAAAATATTGTTGCCGTTCAAGCAAGTGTTGCTGAAGACCGCGATTTGTTGATTCCAAGCCATTCTCAAGAATTGGAACTTTCTCAAACCACAACCTGGCGGATTTTGAGAACGGGTTTGGGCTTGCCTTCGTATAAAATTCTCAAGAATTGAAGCAATTGGGCCACCGTAAACTTCGTCAATTTGGTAATGATTTTATTTGCCCTGGAACAACTTGAAAACAATAACTATTTTTTAAGAAAATAATCTTTCCCGATGGTGCTTGTGCGAATAAAATCTACAAATTATTCATAAACAACCTTTAAATGCATTTAAATTGACAGTTTGGTGTCGGTCCATATTTATTTCGAAATGAATGACACGTTACTGTCCATGAGCAGTACAGATTTGAATTGGAAGAAGTTGATCGGGACAACATCTTATTTCAACAAGAAGGGACTACTTGCGACTCAGCACGTGCAATAACCAAATTATGGCGAAAAAAGTTTGAAGTTTCGATTATTTCAAAAAATTATGATATTGAATGCCCTACAAGAAGTTGTGATTTAATACCATTAGACTACTTCTTGTGTGGTTATTTGAACTCATTGGTCTTTAACAATAACCAGACTATGAATTTTCGTGACACAAAGTATTCTGCGAAGGCCGTAAAGTCATCGAAAATTTGCTTCATTCAATTGCCGATAACACTAGAAAATGTTGGAGAAGCAATGCTTGAAACAGTATTGGCATCCGAGATATAGCAGAAGATCCCAACATCTTTGATGGATCGATTTAATAACAACTTGACTGATGTTTTGGGTATGAACTTCATCAATGGTAGACCCATACCAAAAGACTTGATTCTCTTCAAGAGCTGCGTTGTCAAGTCATAGCTGACGGCCCTGCATTCATAATTTTTTGTATCAGGCCGCTTCAAAGACTGAGATCTTAGAGTGCTGTACTATAATTAATGGTGATATCACATGTTAGACCCATCTTCGGAGTAATTCTCATCCACCATGGAACACATTTTATTTGCAAGTGAATCGTGCGTACACAGGTGTATATGAATGTAAATAGGCGTATGTACCTTATGTTTATAGAAACTCTTGTTTACATACACACGTACATATGTATATAGATTCAATGGCTTGCGTTATGGCTTTATGCGCAATCAGGAACGAGTGACTGCATGTTTGCACAGTTAAACCAATTTACTATCGATAATTTTGAGCTACTAAAAGGCATGTTTTGATACTATACAGGTATATGATAAGTTAACATACAACAGTGGGCTGTAGCTTAACAGGCGTCAAGACTGAACGGACGTATCAAATTATGACTTGGGAAGCGTTTATATTTGACAACCACGTACACAAGCCATCTCCGCTTTCTAGGTCACTCATTCACCATAAAAGTATAATATATCAGCGGGGTATGGTGGGTACGACCATTGCATTAACGAATCAATATACGGCCAGTGTCGCATAGGCAATTAAGGACTAATAAATTGAGTTAAATCAAGTCATTGGCTCATAAAAGCACAGTTATGTATCCAGGGAATTATTCGCTCTCATTATAAAAATATTTGTATTACAGCCGAAAGCTATATAATGCGAGTAAAATATAAGCTTTTGTTAGATACATATACCATAGGGAAACTTATTGAGTGAAAGGGAAACAATGTGAGTAAAAAATTGGAAATTTTAGTACACATACGTGGTTCACATTTAAATATTGGGTTGTCGGAAAAAGTTGTTCGTATTTTGTCAATATGTAGATGCCATACCATATAGTGTTGGAGAGGTGAGATTTTAAGGTCCATTCAATCGGAAAAAAAAACAATCAGGAAAGTTGAAAAAAAGTTGCAGCTGTTCAAAAATGAGTGAAAATAATGAAGAAATTCACTTATTTATATAAAAAAGAAGAATGCCATGCAAGCCACCAATGAAATTTGTGAAGTTTACTTACGTATGGTACATATTTGTTTATTTTTATACTCTATTATATATTTATATACTTTCGCAACAAAGTTGCTAAAGAGAGTATTATAGTTTTGTTCACATAACGGTTGTTTGTAGGTCCTAAAACTAAAAAAGTTAGATATAGGGTTATATATACCAAAGTGATCAGGGTGACGAGTAGAGTTGAAATCCGGATGTCTGTCTGTCCGTCTGTCCGTCCGTCCGCGCAAGCTGTAACTTGAGTAAAAACTGAGATATCATGATGAAACTTGGTACACGTATTTTTTGGCTCTGCCACGCCCATAAAATGGCGCAAACCGAAAACCTATAAAGTGTCATAACTAAGCCATAAATAAAGATATTAAAATGAAATTTGGCACAAAGGATCGCATTAGGGAGGGGCATATTTGGACGTCATTTTTTTGGAAAAGTGGGCGTGGCCCCACCCCTACTAACTTTTTTTACATATCTCGAAAACTACTATAGCTATGTCAACAAAACTGTATGAACAAACATGCAGAAACACTAAATTTTACGGAAGAAATGCCAGAAGGAAGCTGCATCCAGGCTTTTTTTAAAATTGAAAATGGGCGTGTCGTCGCCCACTTATGGACCAAAACCATATCTCAGGAAGTACTCGACCGATGTCAATGAAATTCGGTATATAATATTTTCTTAACACCGTGATGACATGTACCAAATATGGGTGAAATCGGTTCACAACCACGCCTTAAATCTGGATTATCACTTTATCATGCGAGAGTATAAAATGTTCGGTGACACCCGAACTTAGCCCTTCCTTACTTCTTTTATTAGTATAAATATAAAAAAAAATAAGTTGAAGGTTGATTAGAAATATGAAAAGACTTCTTCGACTACCCAATATTACAACTTTTTCAAATTTGGTGTATTAGATTATTACTATCAGAAACATCGGAGACATGACAAGCTGAGCCAAGTTGCTGTCTGAAATTTTCCTAAGGCTATATCGCCTACTCATTTTTAACGTTGTTTTCTTGATCAATTTTCCTTTTCTTTAAATAAAATTTAATATATATATACAAATACGTTCACATATGCCAAATTTTGACTTTTCATAATTTAATTTTTGCAAATTTATCGCTGAGTTTTGGATGTTTATTTATTATACGTATATTCCTACTGCTTTAATTAGCATTTTGACAGCTTAAATAAATATATCTTATATATGGCATTTGTTATTTCAATTTGCAACGTCTCATTTGTTTATAGCAATAAACAGCGTTTGCTGACTTGAAATGTAAGCACGCCATAATTTTTCACATTGCT